AGATAAATAACTAAACCTGTGTTGTGCCTCAAGTTCCTAATTTTTTGTTTATTATTCCATAAAATATTGTTACGTCTCCGTTCGTTAGTTGATTTTCCGTAACTTCGTTCCCACGAAACTTTAGCGACACAAGTCCTTTCTTAATAAAACTGGTTTATTCTTTCTGAATATAACTTTACCGATACACTTATTTTCAACAGTCGCGTTATAACAACGAACGTGCTCAACTTCAACAATACTCTCTGACTGCAGTTCAATTACTCACTACACTGTTTCCATGACGTTGTGACCGTCTTATATATATACAAGACTAACACATTCTTGAAGGAACAGGATATTTCTAGAAAACGTGGCATGACACTAGTCACGTGACCTCGCTGACGCAACAATATTATTTACAGAAACAAACATCTTTTAAAAGGTTTCTCCCTTTCTGGCTAAACAGCAGTCATTAATCACCACTTAAATAAATAAAATATGATTCTTTAAAACTGTTATTTAACATTCGAAGAATGATAATATCTTGTTTTATTTATAAAATCAAAATGTCATTAACAATGAATTTTCTGTTATTTACTTTGTAGATCAAGCAGTTGTTACTATTTTCGACCTATCTGCTAATTACGATGATTTATACAGTGATATACCTACACATGGTATACTAGTGATAACGGTTTATACAGTGATATACCTACACATGGTATAGTAGTTATAATGGTTTATACAGTGATATATCTACACATGGTATAGTAGTTATAATGGTTTATACAGTGATATATCTACACCAGGTATAGTAGTTATAATGGTTTATACAGTGATATATCTACACATGGTATACTAGTTATAACGGTTTATACAGTGATATATCTACACATGGTATACTAGTTATAACGGTTTATACAGTGATATACCTACACATGGTATACTAGTTATAATGGTTTATACAGTGATATATCTACACATGGTATACTAGTTATAACGGTTTATACAGTGATATATCTACACATGGTATACTAGTTATAACGGTTTATACAGTGATACACATACACATGGTATACTAGTTATAATGGTTTATACAGTGATATACCTACACATGGTATACTAGTTATAACGGTTTATACAGTGATATATCTACACATGGTATACTAGTTATAATGGTTCATACAGTGATATACCTATACATGGTATACTAGTTATAATGGTTTATACAGTGATATATCTACACATGGTATACTAGTTATAATGGTTTATACAGTGATATATCTACACATGGTATACTAGTTATAATGGTTTATACAGTGATATACCTACACATGGTATACTAGTTATAATGGTTTATACAGTGATATACCTACACATGGTATACTAGTTATAATGGTTTATACAGTGATACACCTACACATGGTATACTAGTTATAACGGTTTACAGTGATATATCTACACATGGTATACTTACTTTCGTAGGTTTCCTTCTTTAACCCACTTCTCTCTTCGCAAGTTGCTAAGTGTCTCAATGTTGGATTCAATTTGTCTGAAAAAGACAAAATATTTATTTGTTCAATTAAAGACAACACCAGTTGAGAACAGATATCTGTTCAACAAAAGACAACACCAGTTGAGAACAGTTATCTGTTCAACAAAAGACAACACCAGTTGAGAACTGTTATCTGTTTAACAAAACACAACACCAGCTGAGAACAGTTATCTGTTTAACAAAAGACAACACTAGCTGAGAACAGTTATCTGTTTAACAAAAGACAACACTAGCTGAGAACAGTTATCTGTTTAACAAAAGACAACACCAGTTGAGAACAGTTATCTGTTCAACAAAAGACAACACCAGCTGAGAACAGTTATCTGTTTAACAAAAGACAACACCAGCTGAGAACAGTTATCTGTTTAACAAAAGACAATACTGGTACAGAAGTTAGTTTTGGCAACTAAAATCAGCACCAATGAAGACACTAATAAACATGATAAGTACAGTGACCTGCAGCTAAGGTATCTTATTTCATCTCAATTTACTGTTGTTGTTGTTATTTTGTTTTTTTCAGAAACTGAAGTAGGCCATGTTAGTTTAAAACCTAAAAGTTTAGTATTACCATACTCCAAGATATGAAGATGTAAAAAGGTGATATCTTGAAATGTAAACCATAAAGTTTATTTTCAGTCAGTGGCTTCGCATATTTTATTCTGTGCAAAAGTAAAAAATACAACTTTACATCACATGAATTACAAGAATTTCCTGATTTTCCTGGCACCATCATGATCCTGAGTGCATATTCTTTAAAATTATTTGTACGTGTTGTAAGGACAAAAGTCTTTAAACAAAAGAAATCAAGTTTTTGTAAGAGCTTGTAAGACATTCTTTCTGATATGCTGAATATGCTATGACACGATGATAGAGTTTGTAGTCAATGGAGAAAAGAAGAATACTGAAAGTTTCACAATGCCTCTTTTGACAAACTTTGTACTGCGAGAATTGGGATAAAAATCTTGTAAAGTTTGTCTGAAACAACAGGCAACCATTTCTGACAACAATAAATCTGTCTTTGATATATTGATGAATGGAAGAAGAAAAGATGAATATTATCTTAAAAGAAAAGGTAAATCTAAGCCTAGATCTACCATGCTAGGTTCTCTTGCCTTCTTGTTTGAAACTTAAAGATGTTTTTCAAATGGTTTTAGACCTATATTCAGATTAATGTTCAAGTACTAAGCCTAGATCTACTACGGTAGGTTCTCTTGCCTTCTTGTTTGAAACTTAAAGATGTTTTTCAAATGGTTTTAGACCTATATTCAGATTAATGTTCAAGTACTAAGCCTAGATCTACTACGCTAGGTTCTCTTGCCTTCTTGTTTGAAACTTAAAGATGTTTTTCAAATGGTTTTAGACCTATATTCAGATTAATGTTCAAGCACAATACTTACAACTATATTTTTGAAATACATATATTTAAATGTTTGAGTAAAACTTACATTTTTATCATGAATTTAAAGTTTTATTTGGGAGGATAACACGATAAAAAAGATGTGCCCTTTTGGAAACCCAACAAACATTCAGTGGTATATATCAAGTGAATCAATGTTGCAAACAGGCAGATTTGAACAATTCCAGAAAATTCCAGTCACATCTGACTTATAAATCCAACCATTTTCAACTTGATGGATATTTATTAACAAATTTCTTTTGATGCTTTATTTGAGTGACTGAAGTAGTCATCATTTCTGGCCTTTCAAAGTGGTAACAGGTCAGACTAGGACATACTTTTGCTGACAATAATCTTGGCCAAGATCAATTTATATCTATAAAATATAGTTTCTTCTCAGTTAATTCAATTAATAAGGACTTGAGTTAACAGAATATTTTGTCATTGCCTACCATACTGGCTAAATCTAATCTGATGTCTTGTCATTGAAGAAAATTTCTATAGCTTTTTAACAAATAAAATTTAACACAAAAAAATGTTCAGGAACAAAAAAGAACATCTAAAGAAACTATAAAAATTTCTAGATTTGTAGTTTGTTGATAAGTTTAAGCTTCTCGTTAGATATTGTTGTTCTAAATCTAATTACTTTCCCAATAAACCGTTAACTACACCACTTTATTCACTCTCTGTTAATATAATTATACAATATAATATAAATATTGTTTTATTACAAGTTATAGCTTTTACAGTAAGGAAGAATATCTTTTATAATATGTACGGCATTTTGATCAGTAGTGTAATCATTCTCAAGATCACAAATTTTAATAGTATTATTTTTATTTAAATTTGATATGCAGATGTGCACTTAACACCTCAAAGTTCCCAGGTAGGTTTAATAACTCTCCAAGGTTTGACAAAAGAAAATCACAGTAAAACATTGTGTTCATGTGTTGTTTGTTGGTTATATTCACATCATTTCAACAATACTCAAAATGTGAAGTAGAAATTTATGAAGCTGAGAAAAACGTTATCTTAATTTTTTTGTGTTTCTGTCCAAGATCTTGATATGTAATATCACAATCCTTATGAACTTACTTTGTGACAACTCGACTGCATAACAGCTCGTTACACAAAAAGGCTGTAATTTCTGATTTTTGTGTAGGGTTCAAAGATAAAAACGGTTTTTCTGTAACCCACTTGCACATCTGAAAAAAAAACAAGATTATTCTCATATAAACTGTAAGGGTTAAGCAACACTTGTCCAACTTAGTAAAGAGAACGTTTTACTTAAATTCAAATGTTGAAAACTATAAATCATACCGAATTACCTCCTATTTTTATCGACCACCATTCTGGCCAAGACGCAGAACAAAGACAAGATAGTGAGCAACAAACTTTATGTGATTTTTCTCGTACTGAGTGATGAAGACATACTACCTGGATTCCTCACGGCTTTCTTTCTCTTTTAGTGTTGAGAGATATTACGTATTTACATCACATTCTAGTACATGTCATTATTACTGAAATTTATTACAAATCTGTATGTTTCATTAAAACATACAACAAAGTTTCTTAGTCTTTTATTTAAACAAAACAATTTCTACTCTGGATGTAAAACAGCATTGACTTTACAGTGTAAAGAAACTTCGGTATATATTTAATTATCATAATTTGTTGCGTACTAAAATACTTTCTGACAGTAATCTAAATCTTTGGATAACTTGCTTTTCATTCTACCACATTATTTAGGCCACATTAATGATAAAGTCTGGTCAGTAAAACTCACCTGATATTAATACAAATTTTAATAATATCAAACACAGAAATGAAGTAACATAGCAATATATAATTTAAAATGAAACATACTGTTCAATAAAAAACAAGTTTAAATGGTACCTTGTTTGTGTGATCACGAGCTACGAAGAAAAGACGCAGAACTTCAGACACAGTGTTGCTGGTTACATCTACATCCCATAGTTTCTGGTCAAGAATGGATACAGCCTACAATGTACAATGAGAACAAATACAGCCCACAAAATACAATGTTTTTAGGCTGTATCTGTTCTTGTTGTACATTGTTGGCTGTTCTCGTTGTACATTGTATTATTATTAGGCTGTATTTGTTCTTGTTGTACATTGTAGGCTGTTCTCGTTGTACATTGTATTTTGTGGGCTGTGTCTGTTCTTGTTGTACATTGTAGGCTGTTCTCGTTGGACATTGTATTTTGTGGGCTGTATCTGTTCTTGTTGTACATTGTAGGCTGTTCTCATTGTATATTTAAATTAGATGAAACTTTGCTCAGTGAATTCTTATTATTGAAGTTTTTAAACTAATTTCCTATTTACTAAATTATGTTTTTCTAAAATTATTAATATTTTTGTCAAGAATGACTTCTGTGAATAAGTTAAATTATACTTGTGCTTGCTGTGTTTTAGTTCTAAAAAAAAAGAATGTATTTTATGTAACTTATGGCAACTCAGTTTATAATTGTTTATTATATTGTACTAATAATAGCAATATAATTCTATTCCAAGCACATTTTATTATGAAGATTAAAATATGAGAAGAAACACAGATTAATAGCTAGAGATACTGAGAAACATTTACTTTGAACTCTTAACTATAGTACATTGTATAATATTGTGGAGGATTTTATTTGTGTGTTTTGTTAAGAGGTAACCAGAGGTAATATTGTGGAGGATTTTGTTTGTATGTTTTGTTAAGAACCTCTGGATACTTCTTAACAAAACACACAAATAATATTGTGGAGGATTTTACCTCTGGACAGTTAGGTATTCCAGGGTCATCAATTACACAAACTAGTAAATGACGAACAATCGAAAGCAGTTCCTGTTCTCTCTTATCGTCATAGTTTAACAGCCCCAGCTGGAGATTGCTTAATGTTGGCAACTTCTCCATATCTGTAACAGAAAACTTCTATAATTGTAGACATGAAAACTTTGCTGCTAACGTTTTTTTTTTCATGTTGCAGAAACTTAATGCATGATAAAAATCGACTATTTCCAGCAATACCAATAAAAGAACCTTTTTTGGTTTATTACACAGAAGTTGTTTCGTTTGTTTGAAACACATGTACATTGACTGCCAAACAAAGGAAAGGAAAGGCTTGTTACTGACAAATGAAAGTAATTTTTATAACTTTTTTGTCACATTTTCTGATATCAAAAATCTTTCAGACAGCACAGATAATCTTATGGAAACGTTTTAATGAAAGATTTAGTTAAATAAAGTACCTACAGCTTAATACAATTTAAGATGATAAATATGGAAAGAAATAAAAACAGAAAAGATAACATGCAAACAATATTTCACTAGTTTGGGTTTTAAATTGAACCAATACTATTATTATGCCAAATTATACAACCATCATTCTTATACTTAAAGATATATATATTTTAGTGAATAATAATACTACAAACATTGAGAAAAAAAGCACGAATATCTTCAGTATATTCAGACTAAACATTTGTTTCAAATGCTAAAAACATTCAAGTTTATATACTTTTACATATGATCTCTTACAAAAAATCCGGAAAAATATTCCAACCATGAAAACACAAGTTACCATGAAATATTCATTTCATGAACTTTACAC